ATCAAATCAATCCCACAGAGACATCAAAATTTTTTGTCTCACAGACTCGGGAATTCACAGACAGACTCCGACCTTTTCCGGCAGAACGCAAGAACATAAGACAATAATTACGAAGTCGTTTCTTACGCGTCTGGCGTGGACGTAACTACACCTAAAAGCTACAAAATTCCGTCTTACTGCACTCTAATAATCCGCGTTTGGGCCCCAAAGCACTTATCTTTCAATGACAAAAAATTGAATTCATATTCGGGCGATTTTCTTTGACATTCTCCACTCACATACAAAAAACATAAAAAAAAAAACATAAAAATAAATATAACTAAAATCGTGAATTATTTACAACGACGCTGATGATGATGTTGATGATAATGGTAATGAATGATGAATGATGATGATGATGATGATGATGATGATGATGATGATAATGGTAAATGATGATGATGGATAATGGATGATGATGATGATAATGGTAATGATGATGATGATGATGATGATGATATGGTAATGATAATGATTGATGGATATGATGATTATGATATGGTAATGGATATGCAATAATGGAATTGAATGATGATGATGAATATGGTAAGATGATGATGATTGATGATAATGATGTAATGATAATGATGCTGAATGATGAATAAATGGTAAATGATAATGGATGATAATGAATGATGATGATGATAAAGATGATGATGCTGACAGCAATAATAACTGCTTTATTATGATAATGATGATGACGATGATAACAATAACAATAACAATAATAATAATAATAAAAAAAAAAACTCAAAATGAAGGTTTCCGCTCGCATCCAACGATGAGTATCCGAAACGCGCGCAACGCCCGCCGCCGCCCGCCCGCCTGCCGCTGCTGATGTCGCCACGAGCCTTGCCCTCAACTTCCTTCCCAGCTTTCGGCGCTTTGTTGCAAGTTCCCCCCCCCTGCCCCCTTGAAGGAAATTCCCCCCCCCTTTTCGCTCTCCTTTGCAACTGGGTGAAGAAAAGATGTTAAATGGCGATTATTAACAATACCAGTATAAACCCAACGACGATAATAATGCTCGTAATGGCAAGAGGTCACAATGGCACTGACAGCACTAAAATGCGTAATGAACATTATAGACAGCGTAATATATTCAGATCCGTTATAGAATTCAAAGAGGAATTATCGGGGAAAATATACAGAGGTATTTCTATGTCTCTGCTTGTCTCTCCTCCCTCCGCCCCCCTTCTCTCTCCTTTCCCCTTCTCTCTCCTCCTCTCTGTCTCTCGTCTAATCTCTTCCCACCCTTGTCTTTCCTCTCGCGCTTCCTTCCCTCTCTCCATGTTTCTCCGTCTTTTCCTCCCTCCCCTCTGTCTCTCCACTATTCTCTTTCTTTTATCCCGTCCTCGTGTCTTTTCTCTTTCTCCTCCTTTCTCATATCCCCCTGTCTGTCTTCTCTCTTTCTCCTTCTCTCTTCTTCTTCTCTCTTCTTTTCTCTTCTTCTTTTTCTCTTTCTTCTTTTTCTTCTTTTTCTTTTTTTCTTCTTTTTCTTTTCTTCTTTTTCTTCTTTTTCTTCTTTTTCTTCTTTTTTCTTCTTTTTTTTCTCTTTCTTCTTCTTCTCTTCTTCTCTTCTTCTTCTTCTTCTTCTTTCTTCTTCTCTTCTTCCTCCTCCTTTCTCCTTCTTCTCCTCCTCCTTTCTTGCATCTCCGCTCTGTACCTCTCTTTTACTCATGACTTTCTACCGCCTCCCTCCTCATCTGTCTTTTCAGGACCTCCCCTCTCCCTTTCCTCACTCCTTTCTCTGTTTCCCTCTATCTCTCCTCTCTCTCTCTCGCTCTCTCTCTCCTATCTCCTCTCCTCTCCCTGTAATGAGCCAATTCGAACCACGAGTACTATTCGAAAAGAAAATCTCTCCCTTTTCCGAACACACCGTCAAAGAAGAAGAAGAAGAAGAAGTAAAAGAAAGTAAGATTAAAAAAAGATGAAGTAGAAGAAGTAGAGAAAGAAGTTAGAAGTAGGTAAAAGAAGGTTAGAAGAATAGGAAAACTGAAGCAGTAAAAAATAAGAAAGCAGAAGAAGAAGAAGAGAAGAAGAAGAGAAATGAAAAAGAAAAAAAGAGAAAAAAGAGGAAGACAAATGAAAAAAAAAAGGAAAGAACAACAAGTCCCCAACCAACACAAGCAGAAGAAAAAAGTCCCAACCAACAAAGCAATGTCTCCCTGCGACGGAATGCCCCTCCATCAGGGCCCTCCCTTGACGATGCCGCCTGACCCTCCGCAACCATCAGCTACGGTCACACTAGTCCTCCCTATCCTGGGATCCCGAGACAGCCTCGCCGAAGCCAATGTCAGCCGACCAACCAAAAGCGGTAGCTCGGCAGACTTCGCCGAGGCTGTCTAAGGAACCCAGGACTTTACTTTTTACTTTTTACGTTTTATTGTTTATTTGAAGTGTCACGTTACATATAATAGATTATTTTTTAAGAGGAGTGTGACCCTCGCATTACAGATCGAGAAAGAGACCCCTGGCACAAGAGCTGGGGAGAGAAGGGGGGAAGGGAGGGAGGGGAAGACTGCAGCAAAGTGTTTCCCTCCCTTCTCTTCCACCCTCCGGCCCCCCCCACCCCCCCTAGCAAGAGATGTCAGTCCAGGCATCATGGCACTCATATTAGTGCTTAGAGTGCCCAAAAGGGGAACAGCTCTCTGCCCTATGTATATTGGCTAATGATGAGGACTACGGAAAATTGCTGGCTATCCAATCTATACTATAAACAAATACATACACACACACACACACACACACACACACCACACACACACACACACACACACACACAACACCACACAGCACACACATACATACATGCTTATATATCTTTTGCGTGTGTGTTGTGTGTGTGTGTGTGTGTGTGTGTGTGTGTGTGTGTGTGTGTGTGTTGTGATGAGTGTGGTGTCTGTGGATGCGTGTGCGTGTGGTGTTGTGCGTTGTGGGGTGCGTGTGTGTGCGTGTGCGTGTGGCGTGTGCGTGTGCGTGTGTGTGCGTGTGCGTGTGTGTGTGCACTCTCCCCGCCCGCCGCCCATTCTTTCCGACACAATCCGAGTCTGCGTGAATTACGCGATTGTAATTAATCACCTGGCGCGCTTCCTTCTTCCGTCGCCGTTTACATAACGCGTCATTGGAACTTATCTCGGTTTATGTCGGTTTGTGTAACGGGTCTCTCTCTCTCGCTCATCCTTGTTTCTCCTCTCTCTCTCGCTCTCTCTCTCTCTCACTCTCTCTCTTCGGTCTCTCGCTCTCTCGCTCTCTCGCTTCTCGCTTCTCTCTCTCTCTTCTCTCGCTCTCTCTCTCTCTCTCTCTCTCTCTCTCTCTCTCTCTCTCTCTCTCTCTCTCTCTCTCTCTCCTCTCTCTTCTCCTCTCTAGCTTCTCTCTCTCTCTCTCTTTCTCGCTCTCTCGCTCTCTCTCTCTCTCTCTCTCTCGCTCTCGCCTCTCTCGCTCTCATCGCTCTCTCGCTTCTCTCTCTCGCTCTTCTCGCTCTCTCGCTCTCTCGCTCTCTCGCTCTCTCTTTTTCCCTCCTCTCTCTCTTTTTTCCCTCCCTCTTTCCCTCCCTCCCTCTCGCTTTCCCTCCCTCCCTCTCGCTTTTCCTCCCTCCCTCTCGCTTTTCCTCCCTCCTGCTTTCCGCTCTCGCTTTCCCTCCCTCCCTCTCGCTTTCCCTCCCTCCCTCTCGCTTTCCCTCCCTCCTCTCGCTTTCCCTCCTCCCTCTCGCTTTCCTCCCTCTCGCTTTCCCTCCCTCCCTCGCTTTCCCTCCCTCCCTCTCATCTCTCTCTCTCTCTCTCTCTCTCTCTCTCTCTCTCTCTCTCTCTCTCTCCTCTCTCTCTCTCTCTCTCTCCTCTCTCTTCTCTCTGTCTCTGTCTCTGTCTCTGTCTCTGTCTCTGTCTGTCTCTGTCTTGCTGTCTCTTGTCCCTCTGTCTCTGTCTCTGTCTCTGTCTCTGTCTCTGTGCTCTGTCTCTGTCTCTGTCTCTGTCTCTGTCTCTGTCTCTTCTCTCTTTCCCCCCCTCTTCTCTATCCCTCCCCCCTCTCTCTCTATCCCTCCCCCTCTCTCTATCCCTCCCCCCCTCTCTCTTACCCTCCCCTCTCTCTCTCTATCCTCCCCTCTCTCCCTCTATCCCTCCCCTTCTCTCTCTCCTATCCCTCCCCCTCTCTACCCCTCTCTCTCCCTTCTCTCTATCCCTCCCCTCTCTCTCTCTATCCCTCCCCTCTCTCTCTCTATCCCTCCCCCCTCTTCTCTCTATCCCTCCCCCCCTCTCTCTCTATCCCTCCCCCTCTCTCTCTATCCCTCCTCCTCCTCTCTCTCTATCCCTCCCTCCCTCTCTCTCTATCCCTCCCCCTCTCTCTCTCTCTATCCTCCCCCCTCTCTCTCTATCCCTCCCCCTTCTCTCTATCCCTCCCCCCTCTCTCTCTCTATCCCTCCCCCCCTTCTCTCTATCCCTCCCCCTCTCTCTCTATCCCCTCCCTCTTCTCTATCCTCCCCCCTCTCTCTCTATCCCTCCCCCTCTCTCTCCCTCCCCTCTCTCTCTCCCTCCCCCATCCCTCCCCCTCTCTCTATCCCTTCTCTCCTCTCTATCCCTCCCCCTCTCTCTCTCTATCCCTCCCCCCTTCTCTCTCTCCCTCCCCTCTCTCTATCCCTCTTCTCTCCTCCTCCCCCTCTCTCTCTATCCTTCTTCTCTTCTCTATCCTCCCCCCTCTCTCTCTATCCTCCCTCTCTCTCTTCCCTCCCCCTCTCTCTCTCTCTAATCCCTCCTCCCCCTCTCTCCTCTCTCTTCACACAACACATCGCTTGTTCTTTTCCTCGCTTTCCCTCACTGCTCACTCCGGCGTCACGATCATCGCCGTATCACCGCATCGCCGAGCATCCCCAGTGATCGCTCATTGATCAAACAGTCTATCGAGTCCATCTATCATTTGAAGAAGAAAAAAAAAGAAAAAAAAAAAAAAAACCTCCGTCGGTCTACTCACACATCCCGCTCATCCCGCAATCCCCACGAACGCCACTGGAGCTTCCTTGAATTCCCATTCTCGGCGCTATTTTCAAGTCTCGCGATGACGCAACTCCTCCCGAACTATTTCGTCATCGCCCTCCGCGCTTCTCGTCCGTCGTCGTCGTCGTCGTCGTCATTCCGAATCGATCGTTTCCCGCGATTCATCAACATTCCGCTCCGGTTAGCGCGCGCGGCGGCAGGCTTCGGGTCCAACGACTCGTAAGACCCCGCGCGAGCTTCGTTCCTTCCCGAAGCCACGACTGCCAGGCTTTAAAAAAAAAGACAGAAGGCTGAAGGCAGAGAGCCCCCGCGTCCCCTTCCGACGGAGAGCGAACCCGCGGAGAGGTCTCGGGGCTCTCCGCGAACACCCGCGCGCCCCAAGCGTCTGTGGGGACGTTCGGGGCGCGCCTTACCTCGGCTGCGGCTCCCTCCTGCGGCGCGCGGGCTCGGGCAGCGCATGCACCGCCGTCTCACTCACCTGCGGCAAGATGGAGCAAGAGTTAGCATTTTGTCATGGGATTCAAGTTGTTTCATGTCGATAATAAAGTAAAAAAAAAATATATTGACATCAATAACAAAAGCAAAAAAATAATAAATAAAGATAAAAATTAAAAAACAACAAACAAAACAACAGAACAACAAAACAATATACTAATATAATAATAATAATAATAATAATAATAACAACAACAATAACATCGCTATCAAGGTATTGCAAGATGATCCAGGTATAGCAAGAGGGAGGGGGAGGGCCAAGGAAGGCCCCCCGAGGGAGGGCGGCCGGGGGCGCCGCGGCCAGGGGGGCCCGGCGACCGCTTGCCTCGTCTCGCCGCCTCACCTCCGATTCGGCTTCGTCGACGTGCAGCAGGATTGTACACCTGGGCGCAGCAGGGAGGCGAGGGGCAGACACCGCAAGGAAGGGAGCAGGAGCCACCCCACGGGCGGCCGAGGACTCCTGAGGCGGCGCCGCGCGGAGGGCGGCCTCCCCTCCTCGGGGTCGCGTGGGGCACGGGGCCGGCGCCGGCATCCTGCCTAGCGCTCGCGAGCAATCCTCTTCAACGAAACTTTCGCCGGACTTCGCCGAGCATTACGCCGCCGGCGCAGAGGCAAGGGCCAAGCAGACAGGCACTGCGCTGGAGGGGCGCCGTCGCGAGGCTCGCACTGGGGAGCCTTCAATCGCGTCCGCCGGCACAGAGGCGAGAGTCACGGCAGCAAAGCAGGAACACCTGGGGCAGCAGGGAGGCAGGCGAGAGTCCCGCAAACAGGAAGGGGAGCAGGAGCCACGCCCACGGGCGGCCGGAGGACTCCTGAGGCCTCGGCGCCGCGCGGGAGGGTGCGGAGGGGCGGCCTCCCTCCTCGGGGGTCGCGTGGGGCACGGGGGCCGCGCCGGCATCCTGCCTAGCGCTCGCGAGCAATCCTCTTCAACGAAACTTTCGGCCGGACTTCGCCGAGCATTACGCCGCCGGCGCAGAGGCAAGGGCCAAGCAGACAGGCACTGCGCTTGAGGGGGCCCGTCCGCAGGCCTTCAAGCACTGGGGGAGCAAGAGAGCAAACGCCCGCATCAAATCGTGTCCGCCGCAACGCCCCTCGCACAGACCCGGCATCGCGCCCGCCGTCCCGGGGCTGGAGGCATCGCGAGGAGCTGCCATTCCGAACCGACCGAGGCCACTCCAGGCATCTCGTCGCTATCTAGAGGCGGGCAGGGGGGCAGGGGGGAGGGGACACGTGGGGACAGGGGGGAGGGGCACGGGGCCAGTCAGGCAGGAAGCCGCGGCCCGCTGCCTCTATGTGAATACGGAATGATGCCTTCCCACACTATTACCCAAGACTTCAGCTCCCTTGTTTATCTAGAGTGCAATGAGGTTAAAAGCCGGTCTCCCTCCCTCCGCCTTTCTCTCCCTCTCTCCGCCGCCCTGCCTGTCTCCCTCCCCTCCCCTGCCTATTGATCTGCACGTCTCAATCTGTTTGTCCGTCTGTCTATGGATCTATCTATCTGTTAGTCTATCTGTCTGTCTCCCCGTCATTCCACAACTTATAACCCCCCACTCCCCTTCCCTTCCCCTCACGTTACGTAGAAGAGGCGTATCGACCCCAACGAATGCTAATTTACGAAGACGAAAAGCGGTGCGCGAAACGGTCTCATCGCAACTGGAACCATGACTAAACCACGAGGTCCATTCATTCCGGGGACGAGCAGGTCAACAACCCCGATTTGCAGGACAGGAAGCGAAGTGAAGTGAAGGAAGGGTGTAACAGAGGGAGGGAGGGGAGGGAGGAGGGGGGAGGGAGGGAGGAGGGAGGGAGGGAGGGAGAAAGGTGAGAGAGATGGGGGAAGGAGGGAGGGGGCGGGGAAGGAGAGAGGGAGGAAGGGTGAGAAGGAGAGAAGGGGAAACGGAGGGGTGAGGGGGGAGGGAGGAGGGAGAGAGACGGAAGAAGGAGGGAGGCGAGAGAGGGAGAGAGAGGGAGGGAGGGAGGGAGGGAGGGAGGGAGGGAGGGAGGGAGAGAGGGGAGAGAGGGAGAGGGAGAGAGAAGGAGAGAGAGAGAGAGAGAGAGAGAGAGAGAGAGAGAGAGAGAGAGAGAGAGAGAAAGAGAGAGAGGAAGAGAGGAGAGAGGAGAGAGAGAGAGAGAGAGAGAGAGAGAGAGAGAGAGAGAGAGAGAGAGAGAGAGAGAGAGAGAGAGAGAGAGAGACAAGACAGACAGAGGAGAAGAGAGAGAGAGGGAGACGAGAGAGCAGAGAAGAAGAGAGAGAGAGAGAGAGAGAGAGAGCAGAGACAGACAGGAGAGGAGAGGGACGAAGAAAGGGAAATTACGAAGAGAGAGAGAAAAGGACAAGAGAAGAAGAAGGAGGAAAAGAAAAGGTGAAGAAGAAGCGAAACAGAGGAAAAAAGAGGAGAGGAGGAAAGAGAGGAGAGAAAAAAAAAGACGAGGAGCAAGAGCAGTAGGAGGAATAAGAAGAGTGACACGAAGGTGCTCTCCTCCTCTCCGACGCCCAGCACCTCAATCCAGAACGAGGCAATGCAGTTCGCTGGCGTCAAAGACCTTTTAAATCCGAACTGCAAAACACTTCACCAACGCACAAAGCACCGCGCTTTTTTATTTTTCTTTTTTTCTTTCCTTTAATACAACCGATCGCAATGTCCCAATCGGAATAACGATAACGCCAACAATTACAACATAAAAAAAAAAAAAACATTACAGGCGGATGACGACACCGTCGGTCCTTCGAGGGCCGAGCGGACGCCCAGGAGTGACGTCACCGGCCTGACTTTTTAAGAAGTTCCTGTGGAGCGCCGATAAGGTCTCGAATTGTGCGCTCTCTCTCTCTCTCTCTCTCTCTCTCTCTCTCTCTCTCTCTCTCTCTCTCTCTCTCTCTCTCTCTCTCTCTCTCTCTCTCTCTCTCTCTCTCTCTCTTGAGTGGCGGGTGTATGTTTGCGTGTGTGTGTGTGTGTGTGTGTGTGTGTGTGTGTGTGTGTGTGTGTGTGTGTGTGTGTGTGTGTGTGTGTGTGTGTGTGTGTGTGTGTGTGTGTGTGTGTGTGGGGTGTGCTGTGTGTGTGTGTGTGTGTGTTTGCGTGTAAGTGTGTGCGAGTCTGCGTGTGTGATTGCGTGCCCGTGGAGTCTCTCTCTATCTCTTCCCCTCCCTCTTTGTCTGCGACGCAAGCACCGCCCACCCCCCACACACACACACAATCTTCCCTAGAATGACGATCAGCTGTTAGATTCGTGTCAAGTCAAGGAGCAAATCGCGTTCGAAGGGCTCGGCTCGATCCACTCTCATTTCCTATACAATGTCCGACGCAAAAAAGAAAAATAACCTACGCAAAAAAATAAATAAAATAAATTAAAGGAAAAAAAAAAAAATTAAATCCGATGAAATCAGTTCACATAAAGCAGCCGGTGCCACAAATTAGTCCGGTGCCAAGAGAGTCGGCGCCACACAAGACTCCGGTGCAAACACAAGATCCAGTGCCACACGAGAGTCCGGCGCCACAAAAGAATCCAGTGCCACACGAGAGTCCGGCGCCACAAAAGAATCCAGTGCCACACACACACGAGAGTCCGATCCGGAGAGTCCAGTGCCACAAAAGATCCGGGCCACACACGAGAGTCCAGTGCCACACGAGAGTCCGGTGCCCAAAAACGAGCACACACGAGCCCCCAACACACCATCGGCGCCCACACGCAACGCACGCACGCCACCGAAAGTCGGGCGTCGCGGACAAACAAACCCCCTCCCCCTCCCTCCAACCCACACACAAACCCCACACCCACGCGCCCAGGTCCTGAAAGGGGGCAGAGAACCCGGGAGTGAGGAACCGCGTGGAGGAACCGTGTGGACTCCGCGTGGAGGAACCGCGTGGACGAACCGCGTGGACGAACCAGAGTGGAAGAACCGAGTGGACGAACCGGGTGGAGGAACCAGGGTGTGGGAGAACCGAGGGAGGGAAGGGGGGGTCGCCGCTTACGGAGTCGGGACGGTTCAGCGACGTACTGACAACGCGAAGCTCGGCGAGGATGGCAGGATACCCCCCCCCCATCCCATCCCCCATCCATCCCCCCGCCCGGCGCGGCACAAACACACAGGAAAAGACTCCTATCGCGACGGGGCATAAAAATCCTGCTGTCGACGGAAGCGCCAACCTTTAAGCAAGGACGGCGTAAGGGCCAGAATCCAGTACAGACACACACACACACAAAAAAGGCCCGTGCGACATTTATCAGCATCGGGAAAAATAAGTTTATAAAAAAAAAAAAAAAAAAAAAAATACATGAATAACACCAGCACCGCGCTATCCGGAGAGGAAGCTTGCACAAAAAAAAAAGAAAAAAAAATCCCTTGTTATATAATTATACAGACAGAAAATAAATGATTCTGGCCAAGAACTAATACGTATTTTGGGCCAAGACAAACTACACCGCTTTTGCCTAAGGAGTAATACATCATTTTGGCCAAGAGAAAATGCATCATTTTGGCCAAGAGTACAACATTGCCCCCAAAAAAAAAAAAAAAAAAAAAAAAAAAAACATCATTGAGGCCAAGAGGAAATCCATCATTTTGGCCAAGAGAAAATGCATAATTTTGACCAAGAAAAATGCATCGTTTTGGCTAAGAGAAAGTACATGGCTTAGGCCAAGAGAAAATACATCCTTCTGGCTCAGAGACAATACAGCATTTTTGTCTAAAGAAAATACACCATTTGAGCTAAGAGAAAATACGCCATTTTAGCCGGAGAAAATACATTTTTTTGGCCTGTAGAAAGTACATCATTTGGAAAAGCAGAAAAAAATTGTGGCACTGAAAAAAATCATATATTTGGCCAAGATAAAATACTACCTTTTGGCCTGAAGAAAGTTCATCATTTGCAGAAGAAGAAGAAGAAGAAGAAGAAGAAGAAGAAGAAGAAGAAGAAGAAGAAGAAGAAGAAGAAGAAGAAGAAGAAGAAGAAGAAGAAGAAGAAGAAGAAGAAGGAGGAGG